CCGTCTCTATTTTTGCATGTTCGTCAATGTCAGCCAGCCCCACATTTCTTTTCTTCACTTGTTATTGCCTGAAGGGTCCTGTCAAGATGGCGCCTGTCACGGCTCCGTCACTGTCAGACTGTATGCAGAACATCTCCACAAATGTGTGAAATCTCGTCGCTGTTATTGCCACTTCTCTCTCTCTGTCCCCATATTCTGGAGACGGAGAGAAAGAGAAGTGGCGAAAGTTTGGAGGTAGTTTGTTACCGGTGGTTGAATGTGAAAGGATATTTTTTTCTGAGAGCAAGTTCTCAGTTTCTAATGTTTTAAAGTAAGTAATATTTATTTATATAGCACCTTTCACAGACCAGACCTATTGTATATGTTATTAGTGGCAGGGGAAACCGGAGCACCTGGAGGAAACCTACACAGACACAGGGAGAACATGCAAACTCCACTCAGAAAGACCCTGTACCGACCAGGATTTGCAACATATCAATACCTAAACACTAAAGTCTACATAAAAAGTGAAACAATGAGAGAGGGTAGGGGAAACCGGAGCACCTGGAGGAAACCTACACAGACACAGGGAGAACATGCAAACTCCACTCAGAAAGACCCTGTACCGACCAGGATTTGCAACATATCAATACCTAAACACTAAAGTCTACATAAAAAGTGAAACAATGAGAGAGGGTAGGGGAAACCGGAGCACCTGGAGGAAACCTACACAGACACAGGGAGAACATGCAAACTCCACTCAGAAAGACCCTGTACCGACCAGGATTTGCAACATATCAATACCTAAACACTAAAGTCTACATAAAAAGTGAAACAATGAGAGAGGGTAGGGGAAACCGGAGCACCTGGAGGACACCGGAGCAGGCACTGGGAGAACATGCAAACTCTGGAGGTGTAGATTGTTGATTTGCAATTTGCTGCTATTTCAATCGTTTATTCATGAAATACAAGCGTGTTTAGTGTGTCTTGTTGATCTGATTTTAATCTCATTTCAAGTCAGAATTTGCTTTGATTTTTGTCTCTCTTCGTAGATTTGGTGAAGATCCAGGACATTTGAGGAAGTTTAAGGACATTTAAGGACATTTACGGACAGTGGTCATTCCTTAACCTAGTCTGGCCTTATCCATCCGTACACTCCGCTCAATCATAATTTCCTGCATGTAACGTCTGGGTCTGGTCCCTGTGTTTGGGATTACGATCGGTTGAGTTCCATCCGACCAATCAGAGACTCCGTTAGCGGCAAAGGAGATGGCTAAAGCTAGGCTAAATGCTAACGACTCACTCGGGCACATTACATACGTCACGGTAAACTCAGACCGTTTCAATCTGCAAAAGGAGTTAACCCCTCCCACCTGTTAACGGAGTCTATGGAGCAAATCCAGACCTTAGTACGAAATGAAATGTGTACTATGGTGTGGTACGACCGGGCTAACCTTAAACATCTGGACCAATGTTTTCTTATGTGTGTTACTGCATTTCCATGTGTTCTCTGCCCAAACAAATTACTCTGGTGGAATTAATCGAGTCAAATCTCAATTCTCTGATCCATGTTGACAAATCTACAATTTTCAAAGTCCTCCAATGATTTATACACATTTTTTAATAGAAATTCGTTTAGTGCAGCCAGATGTGAGTCTTGGCAGCTCCTCTAGGGGGCAGTGTGATATCAATAGGTTAACATTGTAAGAAGTTTAAATTGTGTTTTTTGTTATAATCTACAAACTTGTATGGAAATGCTTTTTCTTTTGTCCGACTGAAACCCAGAGAGATTTATTATTGATCCTCGCTGAAGCCTGGACAAACAGAACTGCAATTTCACATTCTTTCGATGCCTTTTCAATCTCAGAACAAATTTGGTTTTTCTCAAGACTATATTTATTCTCCCATTAGGATATCAAACACGCTCGGCTCTGAACTTTCCAAACGTTCCGTCCGTCTCGTCTGAAGTCTATTTTTCTTTGCTAATTTTTCCGCCGCACGCTTGAATTTATCAGTGTCCAAATATCAAAGAGGTCGGACTGAGAGAGAGGTTTTATCTGCGGAAGATTGTAGCCGAGAAGGATGGCAGTGCATGCATGAGGACGGGGGAGAGGGAGGAGGGAGGGGGGAGAGGGGAGGAAGGGATTAATGGGTCGGAGGGAGAGAGAGAGAGGGAGGGATGGGGGGGAGAGAGAGGGGAGGGGGGGATGGGGTGGGGGAGAGGGAGGGAGGGAGAGAGGGGAGGGAGGGGTGGATGGGAGAGAGGGAGGGATGGGGGAGAGAGCGGGGAGAGGGAGAGAGAGGGATGGGAGAGGGAGGAAGGGATGAATGGGTGGGAGGGAGAGAGAGGGAGGGATGGAGAGAGCGGGGGAGGGAGGGAAGGGAGGGAGGGAGGGATGGATGGATGGGTCGGAGGGAGGGAGAGAGGGAAGGATGAGAGAGAGAGAGAGAGAGAGAGAGAGATGGGGTAGGGGGGATCGATATGGGGGAGAGAGGGAGGGAGGGACAGAGAAGAGAGAGGGAGAGAGAGAGAGAGAGAGAGATGGGAGGGATGGGGGAGAGATCGAGGGAGGGATGAGAGAGAGAGAGAAAGGGAGGGATGGGAGAGAGAGAAAGAGGGAGGGAGAGGGCTGCTGTACCGAGGGCAAACAGTGACATCTGCTGAAAAAAAACCTACATGAAAAACAAAAATATTCCAGAACCTTTTTTTAATCGAGCAAATCAGAAAGTTAAAAAAACATATTCAGGATGAGCCTAATTTTCCCGCATTAAATGAATAATCTAAATATTTTCAACCTCATTATCTTTTTTTTTATCATTAAGGCTCAATGCGTTCATGTCTAAGCACTTTACCCACGCTACACTGCAAAACACGATCAAATATGAGGTGGTAATTGCTTGAAATATTTTGTTTTATTTTTTTATGCACATTCAGACTGTTGCTGTGTTTTCTCATTCAAGGCAAGATATTTCTGTTATATTTTTAAAACAAGATCATTTTGTTTCGTCCCATTGGTAAATCTTGTTTTAAGGCGGAGTCATAATGCGCTAAAAATTTAGATACATGTTGCCAAATTTGAGCCATTTTTGTCTTACTTTTCATCACTTTTTGCAGTGTATGTACTCGGGGCTCAAATATAGGTCATTCTTTAAGTAAGTAAGTAAGTAATCTAAGTACTGTTTATTTATATAGCGCATTTTACAGACCAAGGTCACCCAAAGCGCTTTACAATGTTCATTTCACACACGGTGATGACGGAAGCGAGTCGCCGAACACACTGGTCCATCAAAGCCTCCGACCAAACACCATCCATTCACTCTCTCATTTACATTCATACCTATTGTGCATATTTTTAGTGGTAGGGGAAACCGTAGCACCCGGAGGAAACCTACGCAGACACAGGGAGAACATGCAAACTCCACTCAGAAAGGCCCTGTTCCGACCGGGATTTAATGCATTTAACACATATTGTAGGTGGCATTGCTTTTGATACAGAACACCAAAGCTTATAATTGACTCAAAGCCAAGTCTATCCACTTTTTCCTAATATTAAATCCACTATTTTCAGCTGAAATGGTGCAACATTGAAGCGTGAATAGAGAGAACTTGAACATACACGTTAGACTTTCCCTGATATCATTTGATTCGTGTTTGAATTAATAACTGTTGCGCTGCCAGTCTTCAGAAAGCAATTTTTTTTTTTTTTTATATTTGAGTCTGCTTCTTTTGTCGGCCTTGCCCTTATCTTTCCCGCTCTCTGCAATGAAATATTCTTTGTAGAGCCGGTCTTGTGTTCGCTCGGCTAGGGGCTATTTAAAAAAAAATATATCCTTTGTGAGCGGCGGTTTAAGCCTTGACTTAACTTTTAATATCTTATTTTATTAAAATTACCCTGGACTGAGTTTGACTTAATGCTCCCCGGCTGCTTCTCAAGTCCATTTGCTCCATTCAGAAATGTAGAAAGTCCTGAACATTTGACTCACGCCGTGGACAAAACGCGATAATATCAGTGCTTTTGATTTGCTTCTTTCAAAACTCAAAAGGCTTCACTGTATAATCTTTTTTAACTTGTAACATTAAGTATTGTAGCCGCAGCTGCCCTGGGACAGTCTGATGGAAGGCAGCAAATCTATGCCATCAGACCCCATCACCAACCATTCACACATACACCGAGGTGAGGGTTAGAGAAGTGTCTTGCCCCAGGACACAACAGTAGTTTTACAGATTATAGTAGAGCTCCCAGGGCAGCCATTTTGAAATAGTTCTAGTTTTTAAATACTTTTTTAAATTAATTTATACAGTTTTTATCTTTAATGCTAAAGCTGGTTTAAACAAATGAACTACAGCAAGAGATCACTCCGAAGCAGTCCCAGACCAGTCTAGGGCCAGTCCAGGACTTGTCTAGGGCCAGTATGGAGCCAGTCTAGGACCAGTCCAGGACCAGTCCTCGACCAGTCTAAGACCAGTCTAAGACCAGTCTAAGACCAGTCTATTAACAGTCCAGGATCAGTCTAGGGCCAGTCCAGGACTACTCTAGGGCCAGTCTAAGACCAGTTTGAGACCAGTCCAGGATTAGTCTAGAACTAGTCTAGAGCCAGTCTAAGACCAGTTCAGGATCAGTCTTGGACCAGTCTGTTACCAGTGTAGGACCAGTCAAGGATCAGTCTTGGACCGGTCAAGAACCAGTCCAGGACCAATCTAGAACCAGTCCTTTTTCATGAAATGCCTCAGCCCTCAAAGTCACCTTACAAAAGCTAAACATTTAAAACTGTTTTAAATCAAAGAGTTAAAAAGGAGAATAATACAGAAATATTTGCATTTCTTGTATTTTAAAAGTCTTTTACCACATTTTCACTGAGAATCGTGTGGTGAAGTAGAGCAGCAGGATGCACTAGGCTCCGAAAGTCAGAACTATTCCTCACGTCTTAAATGTCCCTGTTCTCTTTTGCAGGTAGCTGAAAGGCTCTCCTGGTTTTCGCTGACTGTGCGCCTGGTCCCACCCGGCCTGTTCTGATTCAGCATGGACGCCCTGGAGTCCGAACTGACCTGCCCTATCTGCTTGGAGCTCTTCGAAGACCCACTCTTGCTCCCCTGCGCCCACAGCCTCTGCTTCGGCTGCGCCCATCGCATCCTGGTCTCCCACTGCGCCACCAACGAATCCGTGCACCGCATCAGCGCATTCCAGTGCCCCACCTGCCGCTATGTCATCTCCCTGAGTCCGGAACGAGGACTGGAAGGACTGAAAAGGAACGTGACCCTGCAGAACATTATCGACCGGGTCCAGAGGGCTTCGTCGTCGACCGGGCTGCCGTTAGCTTTGCCCGCACCTCACAGTGGGCCCAACTCCCCCACGGACGACCGGTTGGCGTTGGTACCCGTCCACGCCGCAATGTCGAGCCCGGGAACCCCTCCGGAGCCGGTGCAGTGCCAGTTCTGCGAGCAGGACCCGCCCCAGGAGGCGGTGAAGACGTGCGTGACCTGCGAAGTGTCTTATTGCGAGGAGTGTCTGAGGGCGACGCACCCGAACAAGAAGCCGTTCACTGGGCATCGGATGATCGAACCCATGCCGGACTCGCACCTGCGCGGCCTGCAGTGTCTGGAGCACGAGGAGGAGAAGGTCAACATGTACTGCGTGACAGACGACCAGCTCATCTGCTCGCTGTGCAAGCTAGTCGGAAGGCACCGCGACCACCAGGTGGCAGCACTGAGCGACCGCTACGAGAAACTGAAGGTGAGGGAAGCTTGACAGACTCGATAAGAGGGTTTCAAAACGGGTTGTTGATGATTGATGGAAGTTGGAGATGTTGGAAAGATTGGGTGGCGTGCCAAGAACCAGCGGCCTGTTCTAAATATGAATGTAATTATGGCTTTTTTATGTTTGAGGCTTTAAGGTTCCTTTAAGACAGACAGATAGACATGGATAGAACACTTGTTTTTATCCTCCTTCGTTTTTAAAATCATAATTTGACTTTTAGAGGCAGTGTAATGTTTATCATAATTTTACTTTTAGAGGCGTTGTACCACATTTCATACTCTATGCCAGTGGTTACCAAAGTGGGGGTCCCAACCCCCCAAGGAGTTGCGGGAACCCCTGGGGGGGGACGCAAGATGATTTCCGGAAAAAAAATTTAGAAAATATATAGCCCTTAAATATGTATTTTGCATTTGATTTGATTCAAAAGGACTACTTGTTAAATTGTGTTTGGAGAATATAATATTATATATTACATAATAATTATAATTACGTTTGTAATTTTGTCCCAGTCATTGACAGCGTCAATCAAAATCAAGTTACGCATCTTACATCATGCGCAGCGACAAAGCATGTCCTGCTGCTCTTTGTAGCCTCCAAACACCTTTAGTTTTAGCAAACAAATAATACCTGCTTTAAAATGAAACGTGGTTAATATCCACAACAGAAAAACCCGGAGGGGGAGAAAAGTCACATGTGCCAGAGGTCAGGCTGATGGTGCGAAGAGAGGGAGAGAGGGCAGCGGAGGGAGAGAGGGCAGCGGAGGGAGGGAGGACAGCGGTAGAACAGCGCAGTAAAGAGGCCCGGCTTTTCGGAGTCAAAGGTAAAGAGGTCCGCACATTAAAAGCGGGTGGCCGGTTTATGCTGTTACTTACAGTAACTTTGGAAAGAGAAGCCGCGGGGATGAACCGCATAAAGTAACAGCAGAAAGCGGCCGCCCGCTTTTAATGTGTGGACCGCTTTACCGCTGACTCCGAGAAGCGGGGCCACTTTACCGCGGAGAACAGAGAGGGCGAGCCGCAAGAAATGCGCTCCACCTCTGCTAAGAAGGGAGCCCACCAAGCCCACCACTGTGTCACTACGTGAGTAAAAATACGCAAGCGTCCTTTTTTGGGCTGGACAGTGCAGCTCGGTAGTGGCGTGATTCTCTTTAAAGCGTTACTCTGTATCAAGGAAATACATGCTCATTTCATGTGACGGGAAGGACTGTTGAGGTTGGGGGTTGCGGGGGAGCAGCGCATTTGCGGGCTAAAAACTTTGGGAACCCCTGCTCTATGCCAATGATGTGATGTGTTTGTAGGAAGACATTGTTGTATATTTTTGCATTTTTAATCTAGTTCAGAGTTTGGTTGTATTTTCGACTTCTGTAACATCTTTAAATCAGTTTTTCCAGACAAAAAAGTGAAAATGAAAAGAGCCTCACTCACTCAGCCAATTAGCAATCATCCCAAAAAGTCAATTAATACTCAAGTATACAAAATATATCATGTTTTAGAATGAGATAAATACAGCTTGTCGCGGTCTTATTTGTTCTTTTACTCTTTCAACATTGAGCAAACATTGATCATTTATAAAAAAAAAAAAAAAGTTACGTACCCCAGCTTTAACTCATCCTTCTCTGCAGCTGTTAGTAAATGACACATTATTCATTTTGTAATTTCACCGACGGAAACGCAATCCGACTGCGAAACCAGGAACCAATTTGTATTTAGTTTCTTTCCCCGCTTTAATAAGAATACTGACGCCATCTCCAGATTGTTTTATTTTTTTGCTAACGATACTTTAATCACATATTACATTTCACATCCCCTCTCGCAGACAAATAATGAACGTGTAATTGCATTTCGTTTTGCTCTCCTGAAACGGCCCTCACCCAGGTATCCCGCTCCATTATCAGTGCGATTTTATCACGGGCCAATTATCTCTGCTGAATAATTAAGTCATTAGCATAATCGCTTTGCCGACGGGGCCGCCAGGGTTTTTCCGACAGTCACGGAGAGAGTATGGGGCGCGGTATCGGCAGGGTGCGGTGGTGGGTTAGCCAAAGCAGAGTCTCCGGTGGGAGGGGGCGGGGCTAATTGGCTATGGCGGTTTGGATGCGTCGCTAAAGGGAGGTATAGATGTGTTTTGCTGATTGGGATTTCATAACGAGTTGAAAGTTTGGGGAAAATAAGTAGTTTTACCGGTTCTTTTGAGTTCCGAGGGAATGGATTAGTCAAGGTTAAAAGCAGTGGAGGCGGGTCCCGGTTCAAAAGCGGCCAAACTGACGTGCGCTGACATGCTGCAATACCACCCCTGGGCCGATGGGGGTGGACCCGGATAAAGAATTAGCCAATGCTAACATATAGCATTAGCAGACCTCTCAAAAACGTCTTTACAGGGTGGTCCAAAAGTTGGCTCTTGGCCCAAAGCTCCGTTCCACATGTGTGTCAATGCTGAGGGGGGTGTTTTGGACCAGTCTAGTTTAGTCGCTGTGATTTTTTGAAGTCACTCGTTTAAATGAATTGGGCTCGTGCAGCTGACGCATGCGCAGATGCGTTTTTTCACATTTTCCAGCCCCCGCGGCCATTTTGAAACTGTCCATAGACTGCGGTAGTGGTGGCACATTAGCTAGAACGGCGGAGATAGGCGTGACTACGTTCGTTAATATTTACAGTCTATGGTTAAAAGCAATTGTTTATTCATCCAAGAGTAAGGGCCCACCGCTGTCAGACTGTACAATAAGTCACTTTAAGTCACTAATGCACCAGAACTGAAAAAACAGCTGCTATTGGCACTTTTTATTGTACATAATTATATCCTGCACAGACTATATTTTTAACCTTAACATTTTGCACAATTCTGTCTTTTTGCACAATCTGAGTCTGAGCCAAATGTGACGTGTGCACTTCTCCATCAGAGATCAACAAAGTCTATCTTATCTTATCTCAAGAGTAGGGAAATTCCAGTGTTGCATCAGCAGTTACAGACTAGTAGGAATGAGGAGCACACAGCACAAGATACATGAATAATAACTAAGATAATATAAAATAACAACTTTCTATCTAATGCATCTATTTTATACTGCACTTTTTTAGACACTCAATGATGCTTCACATGTCATTATACTTTCACTCCATACACGGTGATGTACCACTGTAGCCACAGCTGCCCTGGGGCACACTGACAGAAGCGAGGCAACCAGTATGTGCCATCGGCCCCTCCCACCACCACCAACCATTCACACACACACCAGACTCATTCTAGGCAATGGGGGTGAAGTGTCTTGCCTAAGGACACAGCAGCAGTTTGGCACTTCACAGCCGCAGTCCTTGACCCTTGAGTGTGGTACAATGTGAGATCTGTGTCCGTCAGTAAAAAAAAAGAAGTAATAATATGCAAGTTAGATGCTTATGATTTGTCTAATTTACACAAAGCCTCTATCTCTTTGTGGAGGCTTTGTGCACAGTCAAAATTGAGCTTCTTTGGAAAAAACCTCTGGCGCCTGAAGGGTTAAGACAAGCCAATAGACGTAATAAAGTCTTTATATTAAAACAAGGAGGAAAAAGCGATTCATATTTTCATAACCAGTTCATTCTTCAAGGCGTCACAATTCCCAGAGAATCCACAAACACCTCATTTCACACAACTGGTAACTCCAAACCATATTTGATTGCACCATAGGTTTTCCCACCGGGGATCCCTCTCACCTGCAGCAGAAGTGTTTATTGAGCCCGAGTGAGCCGTGCCAAAGTGAAACCGTTTATAGACGCACACCAGGCCTCGGCGTCGAGAGCTTTTCCAACGCTCTCTCGGCTTCACTTGAGTAACAAATGTAATCACGGCAAAACACTGCTCAAGCGAACGCCGTGCATTCAGTTAGCGACGCGATTAACAAGGTCGTATGGGATTTCAATAACGTACGAAAGAGAGAGAGAGAGAGAGACGCATAGTTCGTTATTAAGTTATACAAATCTTTCACGGTTATGAAGGAGTTCAGAGAGTGCGTGTACAGATATTTCACGGTCTCGAAGCAAACCTATTACTTGTTCATATGATAAATGTAAAGGCGAATGTACGCTCGAAAAGAAATAATGTCTTGGGCGTAATTGATAAAGTTAAGCAATCATTTTTGTATAACTGTCATGTTGGATTAAAGTAATGAAGTCAATGTGATGTCACACACCATCACTGGCTTTAAATTCAGACTAGAGGACTTATTATGGAAGGTATATAGAGAATGAGAGCACTGAGAGGCCAAGCTGACCTCAACCTGTTCGTGCAGTGACCCGCCTCCTCCCCATATTCTTCAGCTTCTTTCAACTCCAGGTTTTTGGCCCCGCCCTGTAAAAAGTGGAGAGAAACGTTGTTAAATTCCTCAAATTTGGAACAATGTGTCTAAATCTGACACATTCTGACAGTGCTTTAAAACAACATTCTCAAATGGGACAAAGCTTAATTATATTATTTGAAAAGATATAAAAAATGTCCATTGTCCCATCGGAGAATGTTGTTTTAACACAGACAGAAGGTGTCGGATAAAGACAAAAAACACTAAATTCAAGCAATTATTACGACATATTTTATAATTTTTTTGCAGTGAAGTGTCTTGCAGTAGCAGCAGCAGTAGTAGTAGCAGCAGCAGTAGTAGTAGCAGTAGTAGCATCAGTAGTAGCAGTTGCAGCAGTGGCAGCAGTAGCAGTAGCAGCAGTAGTAGCAGTAGTAGTAGCAGCAGTAGCAGCAGTAGTAGCAGTAGTAGTAGCAGCAGTAGCAGCAGTAGCAGCAGCAGTAGTAGTAGCAGCATCAGTAGCAGCAGTAGTAGTAGCAGCAGTAGTAGTAGCAGCAGCAGTAGTAGCAGCAGTAGCAGCTGTAGCAGTAGCAGTAGCAGCAGTAGTAGTAGCAGCAGCAGTAGTAGCAGTAGTAGTAGTAGCAGCAGTAGCAGCAGCAGTAGTAGCAGTAGTAGTAGTAGCAGCAGTAGCAGCCGTAGCAGTAGCAGTAGC